ATCTGCTGCTCCATCTCAGGACTCAAAGGGGTTGGGGGCAGTGGGCCACACATGTACTGCCCTGCCTGGCCGGGGTAACCAGGGTAGTAGGCTCCTGGGTACACACCATTGCTTGGACCCATGGGATACTGCAGGGAGTACCCACCATAAGGATACTGAGCACCTTGACCAGAGGCACGAGGGTAATAGTAGGGATTATCAGAGTTTTGGAACTTATAGTAGGAGGTCTGGGCCTGGCGGGCTTCCCCCCAGGAGGTGGGGCTCACTTCATCATCCGTGTCTAGGAAGTGGAGCTGAGCAGTCTGGCTCTTCAGAGCGGGTTTTTGGTCCGGGTTATTGGGGTCCCACAGCCTGCGAATGGTCCCTCCCCGGCCCCTGCTGCGGGGGCCTTTGCTCCCAGCCCCACCGAGCAGCAGCCTGGGCCCGGGGTGAATGGCTTCTGGGGAGCCCGTGGTGCTGGCAGAGAGGTCGGTGTTGGCAGGAAGGAACAGGATCCCACGGCCTCTCCCTTGGGGCTCTCTGCTCTGGCTCCTCACCTCCAGGGCCTCAGAGTCCTTGCAACTACCAAATGCCTTCAGGGGCTTTTTTTTCTCTGTGTCTGCCAGGCTGACATCCCTGCTCATAGTCCTGCTGTCAAATGTGACTCGAAAGGATCCCTTCCCTTCCCTGCCATTGCTGCTCCACTCACTCTCACTCCTAGAAGCTCGGCTCTGCTCTGGATGCCTCTTCTTATCCGGATTCCTGCTGGAGACATAGGCTTCTGCCTCATCGATTCGGTCATCATCCAGGGAGTCAGTGGAGGACGCAGAGAGCTGCTTCCTGGGACGTATCCTCTCTCTGGCACGCTGCTGGTGCCTCTCCATCCCATCCACAAGTGGAGCTCCATCTACGCTGTTGTTGCTTCCAGCTGAGCTTGTGCTGCAGGTGCGGTACCGGCTCTGGCGCTTGTCTGAGCGGGAATACCGCTTGGTAGAGCCCAACTTCCCTTCATCATTTGCTCTCCTCATCCTCTCACCTCGCTCCAGTCGTCTTCCTTTTTCTCCCCTTGAGGCTTTCACTCCTTCCCCTGCCTGGCTCCCCTCTCTGTCCTCCTTGGTTGATTTGGGTTTCCTGTTGTTGTCTTTCCCAGTACCTTTCTCGGTCTCTTCATCCCTCCCAACCTTCAGCTGCTCCATCTTACTGGTGACTTCCTCAGTCCCTGACCTCAGGGATGGCTCCTTAGGAGCTGAATGCAGGCGTTTCCCAGGCTGGTAGATCTGCTGGTCTGGTTTCTTGGTTCTCCTGGTGGCTTTGGGACACCATTCATCCGAGGCTGGCTGCTTGGACACGCTCTCCGGGCTCTGAAGACCACCTTTAGTCTCTTCATTCTCCTGCAAAGGACCGTTCTGCTTGGGGCCATCGCCTTTAGTGAAATCCTCCATGACCGGAGCCCTCTCTCCCTTGTCACTGGGACTCCCCTCGCTGCTCCTCTCCTCCGAGGCCTCAGGCTTTGGTGGCACCAGTTTATTCCTGAGGCGGGACAGCCCAGGCTTGTAGATCTCCAGGTCTGGGCGCCTGTTGTCCTTGCGGTGCCTCGGCTCCTTCACTTCCTTCATGGTTTCTGAGGAGAAACAGACACAACAATGTTATTCCCACCACAAACCAGCCAGGAACAACCAACCATAATGACATATATTCAAGGAGAGCTATTAAACACAAAGAACCTGCCACCCCCAGGGCAAGAACACGAGAACAGATCTAAGTTAAGGTTTACAGGAGCAGAAAATGAGAAGCTATAACAGACCCTTGGTCTCATTCACCCTCAAAACAGTCCCACCACAGCTTCTGCCTCAAAGCACCACCAAGAGGGGAACGGGACAAAGCCCGGTGTGAAACGTGTGTGCGAGCACTGGGAGCACTTTTGCTGTTCCAGGTTTCAGCAGTGCTTGCCGCTGCTTTGGGAGCCTCCCGCACCAGCCAGGGCATGGGTTGAGTCAAAGATGCGTCCTCCCCCCTTGCTCGCAGCTCCGTAACGCTTCCCTCCTGCTCGCTGTAGCTGTATTTACACAACACCTGGTCAGAGAACGCAGCCTGGCTAACGCATAACCGAACGCTTCACTAAAGCCAGGCTGCGTTACCTCAGCTCTCCCCTCCTGTCACTAACCGGGACCACCCAACCTCAGCCACCGCTATGGGGGAGGCTGAGCCCCGCGGGGGTCCCGAGCAGGCAAGGAGGCCCCAGCCACGGGGCAAAGCCGCCCCTGCAGCCTCCACCGGCGCCGGGCTCTGTGCGCTCACCGCGGGCGGCGCGGGCCGGTGCCGCTGAGGGGAAGGGGCGTGAGGAGGGGGGGGAATGGGGAAGGCCTAAGCGGCGGCTCCCGCCTCCCCCCGCCCGTTCCCGGTTCCCGGTCCCCATCTCCCGCCGCCGCGGCCCCGGGCCACACTCACCGCTGCCGGCAGCGCGGGCCTGCGCCGCCACCATGTCCCGCAGCTCGGCGGCCGAGACGCGGACGCGCTCCAGCCCGTCCGCCATCTTCCGTCCGCCCCGCCCCGGCGGAGGGCCGGACGGCGGCCGCGCAGGGACAAAAACAGCCGCGGATAGCGCATGCGCGCAGGGCCCCGGCGCCGAGCAGCGCGGAGCCCATGGCGGAGCCGCTCCGCCTGGGGCTGCGCGATGTGCGGGAGGCGGAGCGGCGGCTGCGGGAGCGGGTGCACCTCACACCGCTGCTCACCTGCGCGGCCCTGGACCGCCTGGCCAGCCGGAGGCTGCTCTTCAAGTGCGAGCTGTTCCAGAAGACCGGCTCCTTCAAGGTGCGCGGGGATGGCGGCGGTGCGCGGCCATCACCCGGCCTCAGGGCACCGGTTGCTTCTAAGTGATGGAGGAGGTCGCTCTGTGCTGGCACCCACCCTAAGGGAAGGTGCTGCTGTGTCCTTGCAGATCCGCGGGGCCCTGAACGCAGTCAGGAGCCTGGTGGAGGGAAGCGAGCGCACTGGAGGGGAGCTACCCCGCGCCGTTGTCACACACAGCAGTGGGAATCACGGGCAGGCTCTCGCCTGTGCTGCTCAGGCAGAAGGTAATGTGGGTCCTGACCTTCGGCCCCAGCCCAGAGAGCGGACGGGCAGCGGGCATGGGGCCAGGGTAAAGGCAGAGGGAGCTCCAGGCACCCAGCTCTGCCACCGCTGGAGGTAAGCAGGGTTGTCCCTCTCCTTAGCACCAGTGTGACAAAGCAGTAACGCAGCTCTTCTGCTGTTGGCTTTGCCTCCTCTTTCATCACACAGGGATTCCTGCCTACATCGTGGTGCCCCGCACAGCCCCACACTGTAAGCAAGATGCCATCCGCAGCTACGGTGCCACGCTGGTGCCATGCGAGCCCAGTGATGAGGTAAGGCGTGGGGAAGACTGGCAAGAGCATGGCCCTGCCAGACCAAGAGGTGACATCTGTGCTGTCCCTTAAGTCCAGAGCTGAGACTGCAGCTCGGGTGGTCCAGGAGACAGGAGGAGTCATGGTGCATCCCAACCAGGAGCCAGCAGTGATCACCGGGCAAGGCACAATCGCACTGGAGGTGTTGGAGCAGGTGAGGGGACCACGATGCATGACACCAGACCCTACTCAGAGGCAGGGGCACAGCAGAGAGGGGTACATGAGTACTGATGCTTCCTTTCTGCACAGGCACCTGAGGTAAACGCAGTGGTGGCTCCCGTTGGAGGTGGAGGAATGATTGCAGGAATAGCAATTGCCATCAAGGTAGGCAACAGCTCACCTGGGAAGCAGTGGCTGCCATGTCCTGGTGGGAAGGGTAGAGTTCCAACCAGTGAGCGGCTTTTCTCTTTAGGAACAGAGATCTTGCTGTGAGGATCCCTGGTTGCCTGGGGGCTGCATGGCTGTAACGTAGCCCCCTGCACCACCAGCAACAGGGGACCGGCACGGAGGAATTTCACCCAAGTGGCTCTTCCTGTTCTCTGCAGGCTCTGAGACCAGATGTGAAGGTGTTTGCTGCTGAGCCACGCAATGCAGACGACTGTTACCAGTCCAAGCTGAGAGGGGAGCTGACCCCCAGTCCTCACCCACGAGAAACCATCGCAGATGCAGTGAGAACCAACATCGGCCCCAACACGTGGCCCATCATCAGGGACTTGGTTGATGATGTCCTGACAGTCTCAGAGGAAGAAATCAAGGTGAACATTCCCAGCCCCCTTCTCCCAACTGCCTCCATCCATTCTCTTCCCATTCATCCAGCTCTGTCCCAGGGATAAGCTCCCAGAGCAGCACAGTCCTCACCCCACTGCAGATGTCCAACACGCACATCTCCAGCTGGGAAGGGCTGGCGGAAGCTCTGCTCTCCCAGTGCCCCTTCCCCAGGCCTGGAGCAGCCGATCCTTGCTGCTGGAATGACAGCAGCTGCTCTATCCCAACAGCGAGCCACACGGCTGGTGTGGGAAAGGATGAAGCTGCTGATTGAGCCAACAGCAGGCGTAGGAGTGGCGGCCGTGCTCTCGGAGCGGTTCCAGGCATTCCCTCGGGATCTGGAGCACGTTTGCATCGTGCTCTGCGGGGGAAACGTGGACCTGAGCTCCCTGACCTGGCTCACAGAGCGCCCTGGGACAGCGGAATGAGAACAGAGCGGTGCCTCCAGCGATGGGAACGTCGCTCTGGGTTTGTAGAGTCTGGTTTGTGTGCTACTAAAAACAGATAAAACAGCCCCAAAGGTCTGAAAGGGTTTTGTGGATGGGTAAAGGAAGCTGGGGGTGGTCTACTGCAGCAGGGAGGCGCTTGGTTCCACAGTAAAGGGTTCCTGCTGGCGGTGTGGAAACAAAGCATGGCCTGTTCTCCCTTCCCCAGTGCCCTGGCTTTATGCTCAGCCACCCTCCCTTCACCTTTCTCAGTAACACAGCAACTTCTAGCAAACTCCTTCATACAGCAAAATCCCTGCACACATGGCTGGGGAGAACAGCCCCAATGAGCAGGGGGTACCCACAGCCTCCCCATTCAGCCTCCCCCCCCAAGACAGAAGCACGTTAAGAGGTTTTTAAAAACACTTTCCATTAAAATAAATAGCTGTAGCTGGTACCTGAGCAGCAGCTGGGCAGAGAACCACCCCTGTACAGACCCCCAGCAGTGACACATCCACACATCAGTGCTGTCCTCACTGTGCGCAGCCTGAGAACAGCATCTGAGGAGCTAAGGCACCAACTCCAGCCACGCTGGAGTTATTCCATGTCCACCTCCTGCACTGGCAGCGTGCTCTGGCTCCTCACCCATGGCACAGGCTCCGGAACGTGGGGATCGTAAGTCCATTTAGGAAAAACCCGCTTGTAGAGGTTCAGCAGCACCGTGTCCTGGGACTTCAGCTGTCCATCAAACTGGCACTTCATGTGCCCATGGGTTCCTAGGCACAGAGAAGAGGCCATCAGCTGCCTCTCCTGCCCAGGACCAAATCCTGCCCAGCATCACAGGGTAAATCCCAAACCTACCTAATGGCTCCTTGATGTGCCCTCTACGGCCCCACTTTGTCCTCAGCTCCACTGGCTTAAACCACATCACATCCTCTGGAGATCAACACACAAAAGGCAGGTAAGGAACAGGCTTTGCTGTGCCAACACAACCGCTCCCACAGGAGTTCTGCTTCCACATCCCCTCTTCCCACCACACAGAGCCAAGCTGTACCTCTGTTAAAGAACATGTATCTCACAACAGCCATCTTGGTGAAGATCTTGAATGGGTGGCCACTGAGCACCAGCCGCTTGATGACGATCCTGTCGGGGTCCACAGACAGCAGAGAACCGGTGGCGATGAGATCATGCATTCCTGCAAGGCAGAGTCACTGAGAACACCTCTTCCACGCCACCAAAACGCCCTTCCCCAAATGATTCCAGGCCTAGAGCAACCCCAGAAAAGGGACAGCCAACGGTGCCAGTGATAATGGGGATGGAAATACATGCATCTTCTCAAGTAACAGGAAGGGGATGCCTTTTTCTGGATACATGCACTTGCAAATGGGGCATGGGAACAGCCACCACCTCATCAGCACTTAGCAACTTACCGTTACTTCTCTGTTTAAAAAGCAGCACTGAAGCAGGAGGGAAAGTGATGGGAGCATAAACAGTCACCACCATGGCAGCATCCGGGCGCAGGAAACGCTCCAGTTTGTGCTTGTCAGCTAGGAGAGAACAACAAAGATCAAGTTCAGGCCTAGAGCAGTCACCAGAGCTCTGGAAACCCCATTGAGCCCATTATCCCTAGCAAACAGGCTATGTGCTTTGGGAAAACGGGTGACAAACACCCTTCCTGTGCCAATATGAGTGTCTGGGAATGAAGGTGATCCTATGAGCTAGCAGCTCACTGCATGGAGCCTGACACCCCCTTCCCTGGACCAGTCCCAAGCCCCTCCACTCCCCTCTAATGCCTCCCTGGAAGCCTCAGAGCCTAGAAGTGAGTCTTCAGAAGAGTCCTTCAGCCAGGTTCAGACACCACGGCTAAGACATCACTGGCTTCCTCTGGAAACTGCAGCCCCTGTGGTCCCTCACGAACCTGAGGTGTGCTGGGAGAACAGGGGGGATGCTCGGAAGCGCCGGAACCCGCAGTGGAAGATCAGCTCCTCCTTTGCCCTCACTGGATCGCTGTGGCTCGCGTGCCGGCGCACCAGGAAGTTCAACACGGACATCTGGAAGAGAAGCAGCTCGGAGAGGGGCTGACCCAGGGCTGGGAAGTGATGCTGGAGGGACACTGCAGCAGAGATGAGTGCTCTTGACAATGGCTTCCCAAAGGATCGCTGGTTATCAGTGCAGACACCTCAGCCAGGCTCAGACACTCGAGCCCAAACACCCCCTGCTCTGACCAAAGGGAAGGTCCTACTTTGAAATGCAACAGGGGGAGATTTCAGCCCAAACCCTCCGCAGGCAGAACCTCTCCAACCCATGGAATCAGACAAGGAGCTGCAAGGTATCAGCAGGACCGTATTTAATCACCTTTTGTTCATGTGGAAGCAGAGAGAACAGGACTAAGGGCTTCCCTTCTTTGAAGCTCTCCATCACCGAGACAGGGACATTGCAGAGGTGAAGTGTAACGTACCAGCCAACCTGCCAGGAGAGGAGTGGTTGTGAATAGTTCTCTTAACAGAAGAGTGTCAGGGATAACGTGCCTGGGTTACAAGGGGAACTTATGGCTTCGTGCTGAGAACCAGCTGCCTGAAAGATCCACCCAGTTACCTCCCTGACACATCTTCCCTGTTAGGAACAAGGGAACACAGTAAGGGAAGAGATCAGAAAGAGGGAGTTACCGATGCTCCTTCAGTCTCCTCTTTCTCTATTTGCCGGAAGAGGTGCTTTCTGGTCCGGGAGAAGTCCTGGAACTGGAAAATCCTGGCATAATCCCTTGGGAGGTTCTCTTTGGGGTCCCATGGAGAAGTCCGGAAGCTCTTCAGCCCCCTGTACTTCTGGAACCTACGGAAGGGATAACAGGGAAGACAAATTACTTCACCAGTCCAGGTGTGTGGCCAGCATCCTTCTGTGGTCCACATGGACTCACACCTTCAGAGAGGACAAAGGCAGCAAACATGAGCTCTCGGAAGGGATCGTAGTGCAGGGAGAGGTAGAAACAGCAGCCTTGCATCCAGGCTCTGCCATCCTCCCCCGTTCTCCTAGGTAAGATCCCAGCTTTCCCTGCCCAGGCTCACCCACTGCCTCCCAACTGCTGCATCCCCTGGAAGCCTCAGAGCCTAAGAATGAGTCTTCAGAAGAATCCTTCAGCCAGGTTCAGACACCACGGCTACGACATCACAGGCTTCCTGCCCTCACCAAACCAGGCAGAAGGGTGCTTTCCAGCTCCCCTCCCAGCAGAACATCCCGTTTCTCACCGGATCCTGGCAGGAACATCCCGTGGTGTGTCCACCTCATCAGGAAACATTTCATCCATCCTCTCCTGTTTGTATCTCTCCAACATCTGCTCATCTTCCTCCACCTTCTCGTCATACTGTTCATCCCGCAAGCACTCAGAAACTGACATGGTCTCACACTCCTCCTCTGCAGGTTCCTCCTCCTCCCCACTGCTTTCCCCCTCCTGACACAAGGAAACCAAAGAAACAACATCAAACACATGACAGATTTAACAGTGGAAATCCAGGCAAGTCCTGGTTCTTTGTGGTGCCCTTGCATGGAGGAAAACAGGACAGGATTGTTCTGGAATACACAGTGACACCCTGGAGATCACCTGCAGCATCAGCTCTTGGATGTACCTGGGAAACTGCCTCTTCCATCATATCATCATCAATGTCATCATCTTCAGCATCTTCATCATCTTTCTCACTGCCTTCTTCATCATCCACAATCCAGGCAGCCTGGTACTTGGATGTACCTTTGGGGACCTTCACCACTCTCCTGTTTGCCTTCAGGGAAGCTGTAGGATTCCCACCAATGGTTAATGCAGGAACCATTCTCCTTTCCTTCAGCACCATTTACACAAGACAGGTGTAAATAACTGAGGGTTTCTAACAGCGCTCAACAGGGACAAGGGAAAGGTACAGGAGTATTGCTGCTACTCACCCTCTGCTTCTTGCAGTTCTTCTTCAGTAGGCCACGTCTGCTCCCCTTCCATAGGATCAGGAACCACTTCTGACTGCAAAGACTCCTGCTTGCTTGGATCTGCCTTCATCAGGACCTTAACATCTTCCTCCATCTCATCAGTCCCATTTACAGAATCATCCTGGAGGGCAAGAGCAGAGTTCTGAGCTGTGAACGCTCCTAACTCAAGCTGGCAATGGATCTTAACTGCAGTTCCTTTTAGTATCATGCTCATTACGTGCTGTGGGTGAGGAACCTTAGCTCAAGAGCTGGCACTAATACAACTCCCTTTCCCCACCCCTTGAGCACAATGCACCCAGTTGTATTTCCCTGATACAAGTTTTGAAACACCATGTTCTAAACACAACCAGCAACGCCCTGACCTCCAACACACCTGCACCTCCATGTCCTGACTCCTCTTCTGTCCTTTAACCACTCGGGGGTTCAAAGAGAGGGGATCAGGGGGAGCATCCACCTGGCTCATCTGGAAGTCTCCATGCCCCACGATATGCACCAGGCTGTTCACGTTGAGGCTCTGTCCCCGCACGAAGCCAGACACCTTCAGGGTCCCAACCAGGTCACCCTCCTGAGCAGGCACAAACTCAGCAGTGTGGGCAAGCAGGTGAGCGCGCCGGTCCCGGAAGGCGAGGTGTCGCTGCTTCTGTGCGGAGAGGTGCCTGAGGAGCAGTGAGCATTCCTGCTCTGTGTTCAGTGGGAAGAGCCTGGCCTCGGGAAAGCGCTTCTCAATGGCTTTGGAAAGCTTCTTCTTGGCATCTATCCGCTTCTTGGGTGGTAAGTCAGTGCCTCCTGGGACAGCCAGAGCTACCGAGCAGTGCGTGGAAGAGGGGTCAGGATGAGAGCATCAACCTTAAACCCCTTCTAGTGACACACACTCAAATATCAGCAACCAGCAAGCAAACAGATTCACACCATGAGGGGCAAAGGCAGTTTCACACATTCACGAGAACACTTGGGGTGGAAATCCTACAGAGATGAGATTTTGGGGACTAAATGACACCATGGAACCGAACTAGCAAGAAAGTGTCTGAATCCCTCTATCTCGCACAGCTGGATAACGACTGCAGTGCTGACCCCAGAAGCCTAAGTCTAGAACACCCCTTATATTATCTCCAGCACTCCTCAACCAGGTTAGTAACAGCAAAAGGCAGCACAAGAATGGCATTCACCTGACTGATCTATGCTCAGAAACAGCAATCAACTGCTGATCCCGTATTAACACATGGAGGTTTAATTACTGCAGCAGTAAACCTCCACCAAGCTGCCTCTCACCCTACACCCCGTTAGAAGCCCTTCATGTTTCTCACTTGCTCACCGAAGGTGGGGAGCCCCTGTGCGAAGAGGCAGGAGAGGCAGTATTCCCCTGCATCATCCCAGCCTTCCGCAGGATCCAGGATGAACAGGAGGGAGTCAGCAACTTTCGCCAGGTCTAGGACAGTGTAAAGGTCCCCTGCAAGTAGAGCACCTCCGTTACTGGGGCTGTGCAGGGGCGCTGAGCCAAGACCCCCACCGCCAGCAGCTCCTCCTCACCTGCCTGAGCTGTCACAAAGCGCCAGCGCTGCTTGAGCCGTGGGCAGAGCAACGCGAAGCCGCCAGCTCTGCCCTGCTCCACGCGGACCAGAGCCGAGTCCTGGCCCTGCAGCAGGCGCAGGGTGTCCTGGGCTGCGGCTCTGCAGTGCAGCGGCACCACGACCACGAGGTGCGGGGGCCCGTCCCGGCTGCCCAGGCCCCGCTTCTCCGCCATCACCTGCGGGCACAGCCGCAGTGTGAACCCCTCCGGTCCTCTCCCGGATCCCTCCACAGCTCAACCCCAACCCAGGAACTGAGCCCGGCGCTTATTCCCCTCCCGATCCCCCCCCTCCATGACACAGACACCGGCCCCGCTGGATCTGCACGGACCGGAGCCGATCCGCTCCCCGCTGCCCCCCTCAGCCCTCACCGCCTCCTTGCGCTGCCGGCGGAGCTGCAGCGCCTGGTGCCGCCGGTCCACCCGATTGAGGTCGCGGAGCCGCCGCCGCGGCTGGGCCTTGACGGACACGCGGCCTGCGGGGAAGAGAACGGTCAAGGCGGGCCGGGCCGGACACCGGAGCGGGCACCGGGCCGGGAGCCACCTCACCTCCGGCGCGGCGCTGCGAGGCCCCGCTGTGCTTCCCGCCCTTGTGCGCCTTGTTCTGCTGCTTCAGCGGCCCGGGCCGATGCGCGCCCACCGCCGCCATGCTGCCGCCGCCACCTCCTCCTCCTCCTCCTCAGGACTTCCGCTTGCGTCACGTCCGGCGCCGAGGAAAAGGGCGGGAACGTGGTGAGGGGCAAGATGGCGCCGTGAGGTAAAGGGATGGAGGAGCCCCGGTGGGAACGAGAGGCTGGAGCGCAGCCGCTCCGTGAGCTCGATATTGGTTAGCTCTGTGTACAGGTATTTACACACGGGGGAAGGAGCGCGGCGGGGGAGGCTCAGCCCCGCTCCATAGAGGTGGATGGAGCTGGAACGTTCCTGGCCCTTGTGGCTTCATCCCAGCCCCGTTTGTTACTCGTTATCCAGTCAGGAGCGGCTGTTCCCAGGCTGGAGGCTGTCGCTGTTCCCAGGTCTGGTGGAATGGTCCTGGCAGAGCCCAAGCCCCCAGGACAGGGATATGACATTCCCTATCTGTTACTGCGAGCTCCCCCCAACCACAGGCCTGCGAGCAGCAGGGTTAAACACTGACAGCAGGGTGCAAGTGCCAGGAAAGCAAAGACCCAAGGGGAGACCGGGCAGCTGCTACCAGCAGTGACTGCATGGGGGGAAGATGCAGGTTCTACAGGTTCTGGTTCCTCTGAACTGGAGGCGTGGGGGGGGCCCCTTTACCTCCTGCAGCAACACCCAGGCTGTTCTTTACAGAGCCTTTGGTACCCCTAAAAGCCATCAGGCTGGCTGAACCTTTCAGACTCTAAAAGCATTTCACATAGCATGGCCTACCTGCCAGGATGGAGGACACAAACCAAGAGACCAGTGATGGGTAACTCGAAGCAGGAGTCACTGAGTCTCTACACAGGTACCCACTCTCCCATTGTCATTTCCAAAGGGTGTCCATCGGCTATGGCAGCCCATAGCACTGCCAAACGCAAAGGGGCTGCTCAGAGAGCACTTGGAGTAACTGGGATACTTCTCAGTCAGGAAAGCCAGCAGTCCTGTGGGTTAGTTACACCCCAGTGCTTCAGCAACACCGGGGAAAGGAGCAAGGTTTGATGCTTCCTGCCAAGGGGAAGAACTGCCTCTGTCCCAGTGAGTCACCCCGAAGGCTGGAAACCCAGAGACAGCCAGAAGGGTCCCTTCCCAATCTCTGGAATCCTGCTGAGAGCTGCTCTGGCTTGTAGAAGAGCAAACACTGAGCTGCACTGTGGGCTCTTTCCTGAGCCACGGGCCTGTAAAAGCAGAATTCCCACAAATCCCCATCAAAAGCTCACAGGTATTGCAGTGACCTCTGCACAGACACCCAAACCCAACAACCCAGCAGCAGGAGCTAAAGCCAAGCACGGCCCCACCGCAGCCAACAGCACCATGGGTTAAAACTCTTCCTGCCAAAGCAGAAACATCCAAGGAAATGCAGTTACAGCCAGAGGGAACGATGCTCCCGCACTGGGATGTGCATCCCTGTGTCAGGGCAGGACCTTCAGCTCCCCTGCACCATCAACACAAAGCTTACACGAGCACAAGACAAGCTCCCCCCCTTCTGTCTGTATTCTCCAACACAAGAGGCTTCACGTGGCCCCAGCACAGCCCAGCCAAGCTGGGTGATGAGGAGTGGAGCTCCTCCACGTGCTGCCTAAACCCCAGAGAGCAGCCGAGCTCACATTCCTGCTCCCTAAACCAGCCTCACCGCTGCCTTCCTGAAGCACTTCCCACTTTGCACATAGGAAAAGGGGGAGGGAGCAACAAGCCAGGGCAAGCTGGATGCAGGAACCAGGCCTGGGTTTGTAAAGGAAGAACTGGTTGCAACTGGAAGGACCAGTTTATTAGAGAAACCTCACATTGCAGAGAATTCACAACACATTGGAAAGGGTCCAGTCCTGCTGGGGCAGCCACTGTTCAGCAGCTCAGATCTATGTCCCCCCCAGCAGGCACCCCAAAGGGAAGGGTTAACTGGAACACAGCTTATGTTTACAAGCAGCCTGAGTGAGCCAGGATTAAAGTTCAAATAAAGCCTCCCCGTTAGACATCAGTTAAAACAAAAACGGGTTTCAAATGTTTAAAAGCTCCGTGGTGTTGGCTGCAGTGGAATGGGGAGGCCAAGGTCTACACCACACACAGGCCCGTGGGTCTCGGCACTCTGCTCTACCAGTGAAGGCCGGAGGGGGGGGTCTTCTCGTCTTTGTTGCTTTCCAAAGAGAAAGGTGGGATTCGGACATCGAAGTGGGAGCCATCAGGCCTCTCAAATCGGAAAGTACCCCTGCAAAACCAGAGCAGAGATCACAGCCAGGCCAGGGACACACACAGCGGGAAGGTAACACAGGAGCTCCTCCATGGCCTGGGCACGGACTCGGGGGCTGCATTTGCAAGGTCCAGCAGCAAGGACATGGGTTTGGCAGAGGGACAACTCCCTGGCAGGGGGACTCAGTGACTGGAGGACTCCCCAGTGGTTCACATCCCATCTCCAATACACATTCCCTGAATAAGGATGTCCTGACTGGAGCCTCCAGGAGGAAATCACACCACACATCTGCAGCACTGTTTAACTCCCACTCCACAGGAGACAAAACCATTTGAGCTATTTCCACAAACTGTTTACCCATGAAGAAGCCTGTGAGGGGATGAAATCCCACCACAGATGTCACTTGGAATAGCTTCTGGTTTGCTTTTCAGAACTGAATCTGTCTGTGCTTTTACAATTTGTTTACTGCCTGTAACTACAGATGATTCTACAGCAAAACATGACATGGGCAAGAGGATGGTGGAGATAAACAGGTTCTTATGATGGAGAGGACACAAGAGAACACCAGAAATCAAACTGAGCAGCTTCTGAGCTGCAGAACCTTTATCTCTTTAGGATTCATGTAGAGGGAAAAACTACTAAACAACCTGGTTTTATTCCCCAGGGTTAAATGTGTAACCTAGCAACAAGGGATATCCCCTATAGGCAAAGAGCTGCTTTCATGCTTTTCCCAGCTCAAAGGCAGTTCCAAGCTTAGCCCTGGAACAGACTGACTTCAAAATGCAAGGCAGAAAGACCTGGTGTACAGAAGGCAAAAGGTGACTGCATTTCTTGTCCACACAGAGATGACACTAAACAAGCTGACCCAGCTGAAATGGAAAACAGAGGGGAACTGCTCTAACCCTGAGGCACAGGAAGAGACCAGCTCAGCTGAGCACTTTCCTGCCTGCACTTACAGTTCAACATCAGCTAAACCAAAGGTTTTATCTGGCCTAGACTGGGAATAACCCCAGGTGCCAATTCCTTGTGGACACAGAAGTGCACAGCTTCACTCAGGGATAGAATCAAAACCCAGGTCTCTTCAAAGAGAACACATCCCTACTGCCAGGGGAGCACTAGCATGAAGCTGAGCCCTGCAGAAGCTGACGTGGAACTGCTCCATGTCTGCTCAAATCCAGCCTGGCACAGACCACACAATGAGGATAAATTAGCCTGAACCCTCTCTTGGTGCAGAGAATCAACAGATCATCTTGTCTCTAAGTGGGATACTGCCATAGAGAAGCTTTTACTGTCAAACACATCCAGTCACTTCCACCCACCTTTCAGCCATAACTCCAGGCTCAATCTAGGTCCCAGCTCAGTGCTGTGGGGTCCTATAGCTAAACCACTACTGCAGTAATAAGTGCTTCTTACCACATGTGACCACTGGATGCCTGCAGGGAGACGTGGCTGCTGTACTGAAATGCTGGCTGCTCTTTGGATAGAACTGGCTCCTGAGAAGACAAGAAGAGACCACTTTGCATCAGCAACGATCTCAATGTTTCTCCACAGACAAGGAATTTATAGAGCAAGAGAAAGGGGGAGATCCACACTTGAGTACTGCAATCAACTGCACAGCAAACAACTCACCCAGTATCGCTCCAGTTTTTCCATTACTGGTCATTTAAGATCATTCTCTAATACTCAGTGTGAAGCTTTGAACACTGCCAGGGATGGGGCAGCCACAGCTTCTCTGGGCACCCTGTGCCAGCACCTCAGCACCCTCACAGGGAAAAGCTTCTGCCTAAGAGCTCAGCTCAGTCTCCCCTCGGGCAGGTTCAAGCCATTCCCCTTGGCCTGTCCCTACAGGCCCTTGTCCCAAGCCCCTCTTCTCCAGGTTTCCTGCAGCCCCTTTAGGCACTGGAGCTCCTCTAAGGTCTCCCCTTAAGGAGCCTTCTCTTCTCCAGGCTGAACCAGCCCAGCTCTCTCAGCCTGTCACTAACAACAGATTTAAAGCTCCTGTGATCCTTTTTCATTGCCATTTCCCCATTCCACCTATTTCTACTGCCCACCAAGCAGCTCCCTGGCAAATGAACCCAAGTGAGAGGCCTCCAGCAAAGAGCTGCACATCCCAAAGGACACCAGACAACACTCACCCTTCCCACCACGCCGCGGCCCCTCACTGTTTCCAAGGTGCCCGAGAGGCTGAATATCCTCCAGTGCCGCTCTCGGAGCTGCACCACTTCACTGTCCAGGTTCTCCAAGCGGATACAGTAGCGCCACTGGACACAAGAGACCGGTATCAACAAGGGGAATCAGCTGCAGGCAGTGGGTAACTCATAGCCAATGCTGGGAAACATCATCCCTCTGATGTTTCTCCCTCAGAGCTCATCACACAGCAGTGATGCCACAGCAAATCAACTCCTTCCCTTTTAACTTGGTAAAACAAAAGGCACTTACCCAATAGACATGGGAATTCTGGGCTTCCTGTCAAGAGAAACAAAAGACTTTAGCACCTGCCCTTCAAGCCTCAGTGCCAAAACCTCTTCAGCTGTCAGCACAGCACAAGCAGAGGGGCTCTCTCCATGCCAGGCTGACGCAGCCAACTCACATGAGCACAGACAGCTGCTCTCCCAGCAGTTACTGCCTGGCACTGGCTCTGCTCTAGACATGGAATCGTGAGGTGGGAGGTATGCAGGGATCTTGTGACCATGGAGGGTTCATCTCCACTGTCTGCACAGCTAGAAACACCCGTTTGTTTGCCTTCAGGCACCTGATTTCCTGACAGGGTTAGGACAAACAGCAGTTGGGTTCCCCAGAACTTGCAAATCCACACCAGGCTCCGTGGCAGCTCTGCTCAGCTGGGCTTGGAAATCAAACTGCTGCAGCAA